AATTAATAGGTATTTAGCTTTAAAAAGTTTTCAAATATATGAATTATTATACATAGTAGCATGGAATTAATTAGTAGGACAATTATATTAGGTAATCTAATTAATAATTTACTTTTTAAATTATATTCCCTTTTTAATAATGAATATTTTCTTAAAGTATATACACAGATTATGCTTATCAATATAGAATTAAAAGTGTATAGATGTATAATATTATTAGTACAAAATCAATTATACTTGCCTTAATAATTAATTATTAATATTATTGCCTAATAATTATGTGTTGTCACCTTTTTCGGGGTAATTATTATGGTAATTTATATACATATATATTTTTATACTTAATGTATAATATTATTGGGCACAAAATATATATACTTACCTTAATATATATAGATTATTTTTAATATAATTTCCTAATTTATTAAAGGTAATTATTCACATAATTTTTCTTTCCTTCTTTTGTGTAATTATTATGGTAATGTATTTAAATATTGGAAGAGAAAAAATGTTATAATTAATATAATTAATGAAATTATTATTGTAATTACCACAATATTTAGTAATTATAAATAATATAATTAAGAAATTTGAGAAATATAAGATTTCTTCCGTAGAAATATTTGTGACAATTTCATTAAATTATAATTAATAAAATATGAAATATAATTAAAGAAATGAAATTATAAAATTAACAAAACATGAATATTTATAATTTTTTTTAAATATACATACATACACTTTTTAAATTTCTAAATATAATTTTTTAAGTATAAATCTATCAATATAAATTAAAATTAATGAAATTATATTATAATTTCCCTATATACATATTAATAAATATTATGTGTATATACAATGTATTATACAATCATATAAGGATATGCGTCCGATTAGAGTTTATATTTATTCATACAAAATTTAGAATTTACATTTTTATTGATTTCTAAGTACAATTCTCTTAGTTATTATTATTCATATTTTTAGAATTAATAATATATATATATAATACAATTTGGAATAAATCAACTTAATTATATGAACTTTTTCTATAAATTTATCTAAATATGTACATGATTAGAGATTATATTAATCATACAAAATTTAAATTTAAATTTTGTATGTTATGAAAATAGATACTTGACCAACTGTATTATTATATTGTACATTTTAACATTTTTTTTATTTTTTATTTTAATTTTAAATTCATAAAAACAAAACAAAAAAAAAAAACAAAACAAAAAACAATTCCGTGCAACACACGGGTAAAACACTACATTTTAAAAAAATACAATTTCATAAATATCATAAATTAATTAGTACAATATCATATATATTTATAACAATTAAAGAAAAAATAAATAATTCAAATATATGAACCAATGATTTCAAAATGAAACTAATATACAGTTACAAATAAATATAGCATGATTAGATTTACTTTAATTAGTTTTAATTCCCTTAATGATATGACTTTTCTTTATCAGTTTTTTGTGGGAGACTAAGGGAGTGTTTGAGTTGCTGGAAATTATTATTATTTTTTGAATACTTACTAATAAAAAAATTAAAATATTTTTTACCCCCCTCCCCCCCCCCCCCCCCCCCCAATAACATGTGTAAATCTTATATTTTTTAAAATTACAATTTGATAAATATTATAAATTAATTAGTAGAATATCATTTCTGTTTATAAATTATAATAATTAAAAAAAATTCATATATGTGAACCAATGATTTCAAAATGAAATAAATATATAGTTACAAATAAATATAGCATGATTTGATTTACTTTAATTAATTTTAATTTCCTTAATGAAATGGCTTTTCTTTTATCAATTTTTTATGGGAGGCTAATGGAGTGTTTGGATTGCTATAAAATATTTTAAAATAAAAATTCATACTAATAAAAAATCATTTTAAAATATTTTTTTAACCCCTCATAACATGTGTAAATCTTATATTTTTAAAAAATACAATTTGATAAATATCATAAATTAATTAGTACAATATCATTTCTGTTTATAATGATTAAAGAATAAATAATTGAAATATGTGAACCAATTATATCACAATAAATCTTTCAAAATTTAAAACAAAAGAACGAAAATTAAAAATAGAATGAAAATATTTCAATAATAATATTCTACATCATCAAGTAAAAGTAAATTAAAAATGAAAAGATAATATTTCAATAATAATATTCTACATAATCAATAGTAAAAGCATATTTTAAACAATAGTAAAGGTAAATTAAAAATTGAACGGAAATATTTCAATAATAATATTCTACATCACCAATTAAAAATAAAACTGAAATTAGGTAAAAATACCATTGCATATGATATTCTAATTGATTAATTGACGGAAAATAAAAAGAATAATTGGTTGAAAATGAATATGATATTACTAATTGACTGATATTTTACGATGATATATTTTCACCCGAGTCACCCATTCTAATGGACTGAAGATGTTAGCTATAGACGAGGACGGACAAAATTATGTTGCTACTACCAATGTCGTCTACAATATGAGGTTTTAATAATGTGTAAATACAATTGGTGATATTATATATATTTTTTTAATGACAAAATTGCTATATATCTACACACACAAAAAAAAAAAAAAAAAATTTTTAAAGCAATTTAGACAAAAAAAAAAAAAAATTATTTTTCATACAAATGAATTAGGATAGCAATTCATTCCTATAACTGAGTTGCTAAAGAATGAGCACGTTTGCCTAATTTATAAAAATACTAAACAATGATAAATAAAAGCTTCAAAGTTACAACACTGCATGCATATATCTACACATTAGCTATTAATTTGAGCAATTATTTGTTTAAATTCAAGCAACGATAACATCAAAACATATAAACGATCCAAACTATATCTTCAATTGCACTATATAATATTTAATGTTCTAATTTAAATAATTATATATCAATCCAGATATTCTTAATATATTACAACAAATTCACGGGCGAAACCATATTTAAGTACAGGGAAGAAATTTGCTTGGGCGATTTTACTTTGGCGAAATTTCATTCTCAGTTTCTCGGTTTACTTGGAAGAATTCACAGACAATTACATTCGACGGATTAACAAACGGAGGACAATATTGAACGATAACACAAAAGTTTAGGACTATTTTATGACACCAAAGTCGTTTAGGACAAAATTGAGAAAAACCATTATAGTCGAGGACAATTTTGGGTATTAACTCATTCAATGGTCAATGCACACTCTTAGATATAGAGTAGTTGTTATGAGTTTTTCTCGTCACTCAAAAAATTTTGTTTTAGTATAATTTATTTTTTGAGTATAATTTATTGTGAATTAACCTTGGTAGTATATCTTCTTTTTATAATTTATTATCTCTGATAGAAATGGAAATGATAAGATTTGAATCTAAAGCTCCCTTTGAAAATGAGATATTCTGTACAATTTACTATGAACTTATAATTTGCTTCAATAATGACAAATATTTGCTTCAATACTTCATGGCGGCATGAAAAGAAATTTTTTTACATGTGACACGGGCAAATTATTGTGTGAACTTCAGGTACATTTTTAATATATTAAAAGTAATAATATTTATTTTTAATATATTAAAAGTACATTATTTTTATATTGAATGTACATTATTTTTGTACTAAATGTATATTATATAAAATAATATACTCTTAGTATATTAAAAATGTACTTTCAAAAAATGTACCTCATGTACATAAATAATGTACCCTTAGTATATTAAAAATGTACTTTTTATTTATGATCCACACAAATAATAATTGTGTAACACCACAACTCCATCATTCAATGGGCCTATTTAGTTTTTATTTTATTTTATTTTATTTTATTTTATTTTTTTAGTGTGAATCACAGTCCAAAATGACGTTAATTTGATATTTTTAAAAAAATTCTTGTTCTGTGTGCCTGTTAGAATAATGAACATTCTGAGATAATATAATATATTTTATGAATTAGAATAATTTACTTTATATGTGTTAGAATAATGAAATTTTTAGGGTAAGATAATGTATTTTATGAGTTAGAATAATGTACTTTTCGCGTTAGAATAATGTATAATGTACTTTATATGTGGGGGAATACTAAAATTTCTAGGGTAAGATAATGTATTTTATGAGTTAGAATAATTTATTTTATGTGTTAGAATAATGTATTTTATAAGTGAGAATAATGTAATTTATGTGTTTTTGGACTGTGACAGGTCAACACAATAATGATTGCGAAAAAAGTAATTCTTACTTGAATTTTTTTTTTTAAATAAAAAATAAAAATCAAAGAGTAGAAAATATGGATGATCACTTGATCAGTATGTATAGGTATTTGCTTAGTTCTCACCCACATTTCCCACTTATTTTCCAAATGGAAAAATTTTAAACTTCAAGTAGAAATCGTTTAGAAAATGGTTTTCATTTTAGAAATAGAAAACAGGCCCACTTAACAAAAAATTCATATTTTTTTAAAGAATAGAAAAGTTCATAGTCATGGAAAATGCCCAAAGTTTTTTTTTTATTATTTTTTTATTTAAATTTTTGGAGAAGAAAATGCCCAAAGTTTCTAAATAGTGAATTTTAAATAATTAATTAAGGAAGGGTTTTAGATTGCCATTTGAGTTTAGGTTCAAGTTTAGTTGGTTGTGAAGTAACCTAATGTCACTAGTACAGATTTGTAAATCCGCTACCCTTGTACTGGGTTATCCGCTATCCTTGTACAAGGGTAGTGTATATAGGGTTTCCGCGTCCCTTGTAGAGTGGTAGCGGATTACTAGAATATCCGCTGCCCTTCTTCTGATGGAAGGGTAGCGGATTTCTCTTCATTTTACTACTTCATTCGCTACTCTTTCTTCATAGAAAGGGTAGCGGATTTGTTTTTTTTTTTTTTTTTTAATTTATTATTTTTAAAATTCCCAAATTTTTTTAAAAATCCTTTACAAATTTATATTCACAAATTAAATATATATCAATACAATATTATAAAAACAATACTCCCATCGATCAACCTAACACAATATTATCAATAATACAATTTCAACACTATCATAATCCATCCAAATACTTTCAACACATACAATACTCTCACAATCCATCCTAATATATAGTTAACACATGCATTACCTAAAAACTTTTAATTAACCAACTAGCAAAAAAACAAGTTAATTACATGCACTCTTCCAAGAAGTACTTTGCCCAATAGTTTCGAATCTCATCAATTTCATCGATAGAGTACGGATTGCTTTCAAATACCTACAAAATAATTTAAGTAATCAAATTATTAAATATATTAATTAATAAAATATAATTGAACTATAAATACTTCTATTTGAGTCTCTATGTTTGGACTATCGCAAAAAGAATCTAATAGCACATAAACAACAAGACCAAAGGGAAAATAAACTGAATTTTACCCAAAAACTGCAGTAACTTATGCATAACAATAATAATAATTCAACATTAGAAAGTTAAATTTGAACAAAAATTGAATAAACATCAAAATTATTAAAAAGGATTCATGTAACTACCTAAAAGAAACTTGTACTTCATAATAGTTGACAGTAATCACAAGCAGATCACATTCAAACACAAATTTCACTGCCAAGTCTTCATAAGATGGAATTATACATGAGCTTAACTATATGTCCAAGTGTATTTGATGAAATTACAAACAGAATAAATTAATATGTAATACTACTCTTAAACACTGTTGTTGACAATTCAAAAATCAAGCACTTAAATAAATTAATATGCAATACTACTCTTAGACATTTTTATTTAATGTCTAACCATTTAGGCAAAGCTCACCATTTTAAGCAGAAGAAGAAGCATAAGAAGGCAACCAACAAATGATAGTTAAGGTGTAATGTATACTTACAATTTTCTGACTTACTAGTGACCAAGACTTTAGTCATTAATTCGACTTTAGTGATTAATTAGACTTTAGTCACTGTAGTTCTTTGAAACATTCTCTTACTTAACTGCTTTATGTCAATGGAAAAAATAAATTCTATAAGATGATAGTTTATGCATATTATGCACTCTATTGTCGAGATTAACTAAAAATACTTAATAGTCGGAGGGACGAAAATGGGTATTAACTCATAAACTCATAGATCAAGGGCAGCCGACACAGATATGCATGCAGATTAAGCAAATAGATTACTATATTTGAAGAGTTGAAGATGATTTACCTGTTCAGCAAGATACATCTACATGTGCTAAGTGATTCTTGGAAGTTGCTTTCACCCACTCCCTGAGGCCTCCTCCATCTGCCCAATTATGCATGTGTTTGTGAGTGTTGTTTATAAGAAACGGAAGAAAAGAACTCTAAAGTGATACATTTATCAAACTCTAGAACTCTAAGTCTTTGTAGCTGATCATTTCCAGGAAATGACAGCACCCTTTCACCCAGATCTAAACAAAAAGTGCACATGCCAAGGCATTTCCAGCAGTTTGCATCATTCATTATTATTACTATTAAGCATTAACAGTAAGGATACAATGAAGTATTACCAAAGACAGACACACATCACTTGGCCTCAATCCTTTATGTCAATTCCCACTCGGACTACCCCCAGCTCTATCATTGGAAAGAATTCATGCTGAAGAAAGAGAGAACCTGGAGTTCACATAAATTTCCCAGAAGGACTTCACGTGTAAGCAGTGCTCAGATCAACCACAGACCACAGTACATATTTTTTTACCTCACACCAAAGATTTCAGTAGAATTTTGGGTACACACCAAAACACCTTCCTGCCCAAGCTATACCTTTCTGTACAGATACAGATTTACAGAATACACATGTTTCACTTTCTGACATTCATGCAGTTTCAATAATGTATGTAACCCAAACTGATCTATATCATACAACAACCATACTTTATTAACATCTCACTCTTTTCTTAATCACCACAAATCTCAAACAGGATCACCAATTATTAATTCATACATTCCTACAGCCCTTCCCAGTGGCTTCTAATTCAACACTATCAAATTAGACCTCCAATCCCTCACCTTCCCATTCATGCCTCCCCAAAAAAGAGAAGATGGTAGACATTCTTCCTTTTCTTTCCTAAAACAAGAAACTGTTGCTTTTCATATCTTCAAGACAATTCACAATCTAGTTTTAGCCCTTCAAATTCCCAGTCACGGAAACAGATTTAGCAAATATTTCAAACAAAATCAATGGAAAATGAGATGCCAAGCAAACTGACAAAGAAAATGGGAATTGAAACTTATATAAGATTGCTTTATTGGCAATTAATTGCTGCAACATCATCACATACTCAACTTTCTCAATTCATTGATGACCATTGACCACCAGAAGCAAAAACCCAGAGCCAAGAAAAGACAGAGGTATGGAGTAGCAGATATGGTGTTCCAAAAGAAGGCATATGGAAATGGCATCTTAGTAAAGGATACAGAGTGTAGCCACTTTTACTGGAAAATATGCAGTGATATATAAAAGGATGCAGAAACCCAAAACCAAATAAAAAAAAAAAAAAAAATATCTGCATATGCAATTTAGTACTACCTGAGATGATGAATTGATTAAACTGAAATGATAGTGTATCTAAGTGCATGCTATTCACAATTGATATTATTGCATATATTCACAATCGAAACTTGGGGTTTTTTAATTTGTTCTGTAAATGCCATTGTTGCTGGATGTGTTAAGGGTTTTAGCCGAATAACAACAATAAACAAATTAACCAAAAAATTAACCTTACATGATGGACGAAGCAGCGGCTGGAGCGGTGGATCGAAGCAGCGGCGGCGACACTGTGGCGGTGGAGACAGCGGATGAGGGCGTGGGGCGGTGAATCGATGATGAGACGGTGGTCGAGGCCGTGTCCTCGCCGGAGATGCGGTGAGGTGATCGAGTTAGTCGAGGCCGGCTGTGAGGTGAGGGTGTGAGATTTGCAGAAGTCTTGGTTGTGAGATGTGAGCGGTGAGAGGATGGAGAATCCGTTCAATCTGTACGAGGGTTAGGTTTTTTTAATTTTTTTTTAATAATATCCTTTCCGCTGCCCTTTGCTACGCGCGAAAGGGCAGCGGAAACTCTTTCCGTCTTCTTTTTTTTTTTTTTTTTTTTTTTCAAACTGCTACCCTTCTTTTAGAAAGGGTAGCGGTTTCTTATTCATTTAATTACAATTATGTCACCATTTCTTTTTTATTTTAAAGGGAAAAGGGTCAAATTGGCCCTCGAACTTTCACTTAAAAGTCAATTAGGCCCCTAAACTTTTTAAAAGTGCAATTACACCCATCAACAATTCATTTAGGTGCAATGAAGTCCAAAAACAAGTTAATGACCTGCTATCACAGGTCATTAAGGTTCAGGCCACCTTCTGGTGAAATTTTTGGCAACAAAAAAAAAAGTGACTGGCGAAATTTCTGGCAAAAAAGTGACCGTCAGCGACCGTTCGTCAGTCGCCGGTCACTTTTTTTTTTTGCCGGAAATTTAGCCAGTCACTTTTTTTTTGCCGGAAGGTTGCCTGAACCCTAATGACCTGTGATAGCAGGTCATTAATTTTTTTTTTGGGCTTCATTGCACCTAAATGAATTGTTGATGGGTGTAATTGCACCTTTAAAAAGTTTAGGGGTCTAATTGACTTTTAAGCTAAAGTTCGAGGGCCTATTTGACCATTTTCCCTTTTTTAAATAATACACTACCCTTGTTTAAAGCAATAGTTATGCTGTGCAACCGAATGTACCATGCGCATGGTGCATACGGTTCAAAACGACGTCGTTTTGATTAAAAACGCGCGTTCCACTTTTAAAAAAAAAAAATCAGGTTCGACTCTCAGCAATAGCATTATTGTGGATATATAGTTATGAAATTGTGAATATATAGTTATGAAATTGTGGTTATATAGTTATGAATTTATGGATATTTAGTTCATTCATTGTGGATATTTAGTTCAATCATATATTGTGGATATTTAGTTCATTCATTGTGGATTTTTACTTCATTCATTCATTTATTGTGGATTTTTACTTCATTCATTCATTCATTGTGGATTTTTACTTCATTAATTCACTGTGGATATATAGTTATGAAATTGTGGATATATAATTATGAAATTGTGGTTATATAGTTATGAATTTCTGGATATATAAAAATGCTATTGCCGGGAATCGAACCTGATTTCTTCTTTAAGTGGGATGCGCGTTTTTTTTTAACCAAAACGGCGCCGTTTTGTAACCGTATGCACTTTGCAAGGTGCATTCAGTTGCACAGCATAATTTGCGTGTTTAAAGAATGATAGCTTAAAGTAGAATTTCTTTGCTCAATTCTATAATAGTGTGTGTGTTTTTAGTCCATATCTTTGCGTGTGAATTCCATTGTGATGTACCAAAAATATAATAATAAAATAAAAGTTGTAATTGAATATGGGGTTTGGTCATAAAACTAAGAATTGCTACCAAACAATCCATTCCAACAAATTAAATAGTCCTTCTTATATATAATTCACAAAGAACCAAAAATAGTCACGTAAATCCGCCGTCCGCAACTCTAAAATGCTAAGTATACCCTAAAATTGTTAACATTGTGTTTGTAGTATATAAATTGTAGATTTTTAAAAGGTAAATTGTAAACATTTATTAGGTAAATTTTATACATTTGAGCCCGAGTCCATCTTGCCATGTAGACCTAGGTCCACAGAATAATTTGTGGCAAATTATATCGTGCACCACGGTGCATAATCGATTATGCACCGCGCATCAAAACGACGTCGTTTTGTTTAATGAAAAGAAACGGGATCCGTTTTCCGCCGTTCCGCACCCTTTCTATTTTGTATACACTGCAGTTTCAGTTCAACACAACTACAGTTCAATCATTTCGATATAACTACAGTTTCATTCGATATTTATAGACTCAAATATTTTAAAATGTTATTTAATATACACTATAGTTTTATTAAAACACAACTACATGATCATTTTGATACAATTACAGCTTTATTGAACAATATACACTCAGATATGTGAAATGTTATTCAGTTTCATTTTATATACACTACAGTTTCATTTCACCACAAATACAGTATATATTATTTTGATATAACTGCAGTTTCATTTGATAATATAAAAATAATACGTGAGGTAGTGTCGGTTTAGATATACTGTAGTGTCAGTTGATAATTAACATGCAAAAAATGCGCGTTTCGTTAAAATTAATGGCACGCCGTTTCTTTACTTGAAGAAACGGCGCCGTTTTAATCGCGGTGCACGATATAACAACCGATAATTTGTGTAAGAAGATGAGGCCCGAAACATATAAATCAGCTCATTTCTCGCCATTAAAATTAAAGTTCACTTTCTACATTCAATAACATGAACCAAAAGTTGCTAAGGCAAGGTTTTTGATCCAAAAATGGATTCGTCACGGTTTAGAAAAGTTGCAAAAAGGTAGTGTTAATCTCTCCAACTAAGGAGTTTATTTACATTCCATTTCTTTTGGATGTTATAACTATATATAATATAATGGTAACTTATAAAATTTTGCTTGTGAATATAATAGTTTGTTGATGGAATAATGGTCTTCAAAATAATTTTTTTGCACCTCCCAAATCTCATTTAGAAGATTAAATATGAATAAAATATATTGGAATTAACTGCCATAAATAAGAGATAAAGACAAAGAAATATGATGAGTCAATGGTCACACTATTGGCCTTCTCACTATCCCCTTCCAGACTGCCTGCCATATAGAATAAAAAACAGCTGCAAACACATGCAATGTTTGCTTATCACACGAAATAAAAACCTGTTGAAGCCACACATCTAATGATTCATCCAAATTTGCACTCGGCAAATGGATGTTCGACAATCTCCAATCTCCACACCTCCGATCCCACGCTAAAGGACATGAATAAAATACATGCATGAGAGTTTCATCTTGCAAGCCACATATGGGGCAATCTGGAGTAACCTCCACATGTTTAAATAGCAAAGTCATCTTAGTGGGCAACACCCCTCTTATAACCCTCCACAACAAAGTCCTCCATTTTGGGGACACTTTAGATGCCAATGGAATTCCACTTAGAGAAGGCAGATGAAAATGGATGAGCTTCATAATCCTCTCTAAGTATTCTATACCCAAGCTTCACACTGTAATTCCCCCTTAAGTCCTCATTCCAGTACCAGCAGTCATCAAAATCAGGGCAGATAGGAGTCCGTACGTAAAATTGACAACCAAAGCACCCCTAAGAGGTGGAGGCATTTCAGTTGTCACATGTGGCTCATCCAATTTAATTAGCCAAGGGTCCTTCCAAACATCTGTTGTTAAGCCATTCCCAACTCTTCTCTTAGCTCCCATTCTCACTGACCCCTGAGCAGCAAAAATACTTGCCAGCAGTAACTTGGATTATGGCCTAGGGTGGCGTCCAAATAAGAGGAGTTTGGGAAATACCTGGACTGAAACACACGCGAAACCAGAGTGGTAGGGTTTGTGAGCATCCTCCAGCCTTCTTTCCAATAACGCCAGATTAAAGAGGTGGATTTGTTTGAATCCCAGGTCTCCCTTACCTTTCGTCACACACAATTTCTCCCAACTTAACCAATGTATGCATCCGGCATCATCCCATTACGCCACCAAAACCTTTCGTCACACACAATTTCTCCTAACTTAACCAATGTATGCATCCGGCATCATCCCATTACGCCACCAAAACCTGTTCATACACCTTTCAAGCCTTTCACACAAATAAATAGGCAGCAAAAAACGCTCATAGTAAACATTGGCATTGCCTTAGCCACAGATTTAAGTAAAATCTCCTTACCAGCTCTAGTCAGAAACTTTTTGTTCCATGTTCCAATCCTTTGCCTCAACTTCTGCTCCACATAAGAAAAGACCCTCCCCTTATTCCTACCAATAACTGAAGGCAATCCTAGGTACTTCCCAAAGTCAAGCGTCTCATGGATGTAAGATTTTCCCTTATAATATATATTGATATTATATATTAGGGCCTTAATTAAGTGGTGCAAGTTGACTAGGCTTATTAAGTAGTCTGGTTGGACTTAATAACTAGTAGTTGTTAGTCAACCAAACTCTGTGCCTAATATAACCTGGATTGATGGGATACAGGATTATGGATTAGTTAGCACATTCAGTTACGGTACTCAGACTGCTCAGTAGATACCAATACACCATCTAGGGTTCTGAGTCAGGTCTGAGACAAAACATGGCTAACGGTCTACCGTTAAGAGGCAACACAACAGGAACATCAACTATGGCTGGAGATCAACACGGCTACGCTTCCGCTATCATACGAGGTCAGGTTTCTCGTATACTATGGTTTATTATAGTTAGACTATTGTATATCTAACATTTGGTATCAGAGCCTTTATCAATCTCTGCCTGGTTGATTGTTTTGCCTAAAAATCAACATTAATTAATATCATAGATTGATTTTAATATGTTGTTTTTCGAAATATTGTCTTATGGACTTGATTGATTGTTGTTGCTATGTTGTTGCCGTGTTTTTGAAATCCACCGCCATGAAATTTTGGCCGGAGGAATACGGTTCGATGGTAACAAATTGTAGAGCTCTCTTGTGGCAAAGGAGTTCACTGGAAATCAGTCATCAGATGGCGTTGTCTACTACGTTTTTATCAACGTTGGCGTAGAGACAGTGTCGTAGGCGCAGTGGGGTGGCGACCGACTTCATCTTTGAAAAAAGGTTGGTTGCCATAGTTGCGGTCAGACAGTGCGTCATTAAATCGTAGGGGCACTGTAGGATGCTGTTCGCAGCTTCCATGGTTGCATCCCGGTTGCTGCTTCATCTTCATTGGGCTGCAGTAGAGAAGGGGAAGAAGTCTCCGTCCTGGCCAATAATAAAAAAATTCCGGCGACACTAGTATCTTGACGTCCTCTCTCTCTTCCACCTTCTGCGGCGGCGACTTCGATTTGGTTTTCCTTTGCAGAGTCCGTAAGGCCAATTATGGCGTTGGAAATTCTGTG